GACGGAGGGAGTAGATGATAGACAAATGTTTTTTGCAGTGCTGACACACACTGGTAGGTATGGTTCCAACAAAGCTCCAGCTTTTTTGACCAGCCACTCTCCTAGTGCAGCATCAAATTCTCATTTTTATTTTACTGCAAGGAAGGCATCAAAGCATGATTTGATCCTCTAAGCGTCCTCAAATCATTTCTATCCACCGAAGAAAGTTTCTTATTTGATAATAAGATTGGCTTTGTAATGTTAGTGAGCTTCCCACTAGGAGCTAAACAAATAAAAGGGAAAGGGAAAGTGAAAGGGTGCCTAAATTGTTCTGAAGAACTTTTGGGTCAGTCTAGCACTTTAACCAGCTTCATCCAGGAGTAATCTGGAGCAGCTAGCAGAAAGTAAGCCCACCATCACTTTCTGCCTCATGTTTCGAAGAAACGTTTTTTCGGCAACAAAACTATATCTTGACCGCATCAGAAATATCCTGCCGGTAAATGTTAAAATGCCCCTTTTCGATAAAAAAGGTGAAAGCAATATTGTTAAGATCTTTCTTTAAACCTAGATTGTTAAGATCTTTCAGGTAATGATTCAAAGGTTTGCTTTCTTCAGAGCAGGTAAATGTACAGAACTTCGATACTTCAACAGAACCATGTTGGAAAGTCCACAATCACTTTTTCTGTCTCATGATTTTCAGCAACCAAACTAAAACATCCAACCAGAAATGTTCAATGAAAGGAAAAATAAATCGGTGAAATCTTTCCGGTAACGAGTCAAATGTTTGCGTTCTTCGGAGCAGAAGATGTATGGAATTTCAGCACTTCTATAACTGATAGTGACTGAATGTTGTTCTTAGTGCAACCTGATGCAATGCAACACTAGTGCAGAACCGGGCAATAGCACCGGTTCGTAAGGCCCTTTAGTGCCGCTTCCGTAACCGGCACTAAAGTGTGGTCACTAAAGCCCCCCCCCCTTTAATACCGGTTCAGCACGAACCGGTGCTAAAGGGCAACCACGTGGCACGAGCCAGCTCCGGGGGCCTGGAGCCCTTTAGTACCGGTTGGTAACACCAACCGGTACTATAAGGTTTGGGGGGTTTTTAGTTTTATGAATTCTTTTTCATTTAATTTTGTGTTTCCATTTTAATTCTTTTTCGTTTGCTGGTATTTTACGATACTACACATTGTAAACGTTATGCATATATATATATATAGAATTTTTAGTAGAACCAATCATCGAGTTCAACATGATTCTCATGATATTATAAGCGTCCATATATAACACCACAAAAGCAAATCACTTAAGTTCAGAATGAAGAACACGGACATGAAAGGACAAGTATTAATTAAGAGCAGCATGAAGAACTAGCTAAATCACTCCTGCTAGCTACTCTCTCTCTGGTAAAATAGCATAGAACATGTATAGCTCTCCTGATTGATCATACTGGAGCATGCCGATGAACCTGTCTCCTAATCGTGGGCTGCGCTTCTCATTGCTGCCCCCTAGTACTTCTCTGCGATCATTAACAATTTTCCTCCAATCTTTCACTATTAAGCATTCATCGCTTCTAGAAATCCTGAATGCATTCATGTGCAATGCAGGATATCTTGGCCTTAAGCTAACAATTGACATCTGACCTTTAGTCTCGATCCCCTAAGGCACAACTGTCATCGGGAGTCCCTGTTGAAGAACATCGTATAGTACTTAATTAATATACTTAGCAATGAAAGTTTAGCAAAAAAAATATGTATGCAAAATATGCATTGAGGACAAATAGTAAATATCTTACCATCATTCCTAAAAAGATGTGACCGTAGTTCAATACCATCACTATTGGTCGCACGTTTTGAGTACTAACATTTCCAAGTGCAGGAAAAAAATTTGTCTTGACAGTATGAAGATCCTCAAGCCATGAAACATAATGACTTATCTCCTCGCAGTTTAGTTCAGCTCCGGGACAGTAGAAGGTCATGTCTACCAAGCGCCGGACATTTTTGGTTGAATGGAGATAAGCTGTCAATAGAAATTAGTTGTCAGTTATTTTTGAAATAAGCAATATCAAAGACAAAAATATATTTGAGAAGAACTCACATAATGGTAGAATTGGAGGCGTCTGCACATTGACTCATATGTCTATATTACCTTCAATATCATCTTCCGAACGAATATCAAAGGTGATAACCATACCAGGCTCAAATGCATAAGCCTTGCATAGTGCTTGCCAAGTTTTGCATTCAAAATAGGTGTACGTGTGTGCATTGTATACTTTGACGTTGAAAGTATAACCATCATGCTCAGTTTTCAGATAAGCTCTCTTTACCTCCATAGTTTCCATATCTTTGAAACCTATCTTATCCAAGACAAAAATTCTTCCATGGCATGAGATGCGCTAGTAGAATAGTGAAAATTAAAAATTATAAGTCAGGCAAATGAAGCATATATAAGTCATGCTTAATTACGAAAATAGACTTGTCGTTGTGACTTACTGTATCGAATTCGAAAGTCTCATCCAGCTTGATGCTGAATCGCCTACCATCAACAAGGAAATTTCTATCACACTGGCCGCGCTCGTCTTCACAGTATGTGCACATACCGAAATTTTTTCCGTCGTCAGACGACATTTCCTATGTTCATATTAGGCGAAACATTAAACACTTACTAATTCAATTAATTCAACTACTTCTATTAATTCAACTAAGCATTTACTAAAAATAAACTAGTTCTATCCGTCTCTTTCTCAGACTTATCCCACTTAGGTGAAACATTAAACACTTATTACTATCTAACATTAATTAATATCTAGCCAATTCAAATATATATCTAACTATATTCATCTCTAACAATTGACATTACTATATATTTAACTTTTCTATCTAATTCATCTAACATTCGACATTAATCTAACATTTATATAAACTCAAAATATATAAAAACATTAAATAAACAGAAAAACTCATTAACAAATAATATTTTAATTAGATAATCAAATCTCAGATACGACAATTTTCTTACTAAAAATAAACTAGTTATATTAATTATTCAACTAGTTCAAATCTCATATACCTAAATAAACTAGTTCGACAATTTTCTTACTAAAAATAAACTAGTTATATTAATTATTCAACTAGTTCAAATCTCACATACCTAGCTAATTAATATCTAATTAAATAAGTAAAATGTGTGTGTGTGTGTGTGTGTATGTGTGCAGTGTGTGTATGTGTGTATGTGTGTGTACGCCGCCCCGTACGCCGCCGCCCCGTACGTACGAGCGGGGGCGCCGGCGTACGGGGCGGGGGCGGCGGCGTACGGGGCGGGGGCGCCGGCGCGCGGGTGAGAGAGACGTACGGGACCGCGGCGACGACGACGGACGGCGGCGGCGTTCGGGGCGGCGGCGCGAGACGACGACGACGACGGGCGGCGGCGGGGACAGCGACGACGACGACGGACGACGGGCGACGGGCGGCGACGACGGGATCGAGCGGCGCGCGGCGATGTCGAGAGGTTGGAGACGAAGTGGGGAGATGTAACTGAAATTTTCGCAAGTGCTATATATATAGGATGGACCTTTAGTACCGGTTGGAGCCACCAACCGGTACTAAAGGCCAACTTTGGCTAGGCCAAGAGGCGGGAAGAGCAGGCCTTTAGTACCGATTGGTGGCTCCAACCGGTACTAAAGGGTGATCTTTAGTACCGGTTGGAGCCACCAACCTGTACTAAAGGACTCGCGCTGTCACCCCAAAGTTTAGTCCCACCTCGCCGGGCGAAGGGCAGCCGCACTGGTTTATAAACCCAGCCGCCGCTACCGCTTTGAACTCCTCTATATAGCAGGCTTGTGGGCCTAAATTCTGCGCGCTGCTCTGTGAGTCTGCTGGGCCTTTAAGGCTTGTAATTGCACACCCGTGGCCTAGCAGGCCCACAGGGCAGCGCCCCAATTTTTTTTATAGTTTTTTTCTTTTCTGCTTTATTTTCTTCTATTTATTTCTGCGTAGTTTTTTGTATAGTTTTTTCTTTTCTGTTATATTTATTTTCTTCTATTTATTTCTGAGTAGTTTTTCATCTAGTTTGCCAAAATTCAACATTTTCAGAGTTCATTTTGTAGTGATTTTCAATTTCACGGTCATTTTATATAGTTTTTTTCTTTTCAGCTATAGTTTTTTTTTCTGTTATTTTTTCTTTTCTGCAAAACTTGATGGTCAAAGTCTGGAGTTATAACCAAAGTTTAAAAAAAAGAAATGCCGACCATCATGCAAAAAATATAAGAGCATTTAGATCATAATCTTATATTTCTTTGCAGTCTAAATTGCCAATATGATCTTATAACATCAAAAATACTTTGATCATCAATGATCTTTGTGTGTACAATCTGAATTGTCAATATGAGTCATCAACGATTTATAAACCGATGAAGACTCATATTGCGGCCATAAATTCTACACATAGAGTTCAATGAAGACCAAATGCTTGTGATAGTTTGAGAAATAACATATTTAAGGTGGTAAAAGGCTTGTTAGGGGAGCAAGGTGGGACTAAAAACAGCTTGCCATAACATTAATTAGTACCGGTTCGTGGTACGAACCGGCACTAAATGGTGATGGTGGGGCCATAGCCTGACCGCAGGCTGACACAGCCTCTCTAGTACCGGTTCGTGGCATAAACCGGTACTAAAGGGTCGCCACGAACCGGTGCTATTGATCGCCGCCACGAACCGGCACTAATGTACACATTAGTGCCGGCTGAAATTCAAACCGGCACTACTGTGCTTCACATTTGACCCTTTTTCTACTAGTGCAACCAACCCATGGCATTTCAGAGGAAAAAATCATTGAATTCATGCATGCGAGTATGGCAACAGCTAAATAATATCTCCGTATATCGCTACGCTATTACAATGATCATCATGATCGGCGCAAACTTCGTCATGACAACGGGAAACAATGGTGTGGTGGTCTACCTTTACATTCTCCAAATTTATATCGGTTACATGGTTATACATATCCTACAGACACTCCTGATCATGATCATCTGCCCCTAGAGTTGGTCCTAGCGCCGTCGCTCCTCGGCGAGTTCCCCCGGCCACGCGGCATCGACGGGCTGTCTCGCCTGGCCTCCCTCGACTTGGACTTGCTCTTCATCGCCTCGATCTGCTCGAGCGCCTCGACGACCTCCTTCATGGACGGCCGGCTCTTGGGCTCGCCGGCCAGGCACTTGAGGGTGAGCTGAGCGGCGCGGAAGGCTCCCCTGGCATGGTACTGCCCCTCGAGCCGGCTGTCCATCAGCTGGGTCAGCCTCCTCCGGTCCGACAGGAGCGGCTTCGCCCAGTTCACCAGGTTGAGCTTCTCACTGGGGCGGCTCGGGTCCAGCGCCCTCAGGCCACAGAGCATCTCGAGCAGCACGACGCCGAAGCCGTACACGTCACTCTTCACATACAGGTGGCCTAGCATGAAAGGTGTTCAGTGTTATGTAACCAGTGCTATGAACAGATGATGCACAGTGTTAATTTGTAATGTGACTATTAACTGACGAACATACCGGTAGAAACATACTCCGGAGCGGCATACCCATACGTGCCCATGACTCGTGTTGTCACATGAGACTCCCCATCATCTGGGCCATGCTTGGCCAATCCAAAATCTGAGAGCTTCGCGTTGAAGTGCTGAACATAACATAGTTGCAGGGTGTTAAGAGAATTATCCAAGATCAGAGACACTGTTATTAATCGCTCTTGGAATAATACATACTGAATCTAATAGGATGTTGGAAGCTTTGAAGTCCCGGTAGATAATCTGCCTTTCGGACGAATGAAGGAAGGCGAGGCCACGGGCTGCACCGATGAGAATCTTCAGCCTGAGGCTCCAAGGCAGTGGCTCATAGATGGCCCCTCCTGATAAAACATCAACGAATTAGTAGTTTAGTACCACAACTGAGCTAAATGGTAAGTTTGATCACAAATAATCTTTGACAGCTAAGCAAAAAAGCAGAGCAAAGGAAAAAATCCGAGTCCTACTTTTGACCCTCTATTTGCAAATTGACCTGGCAAGAATGATGGAAGGCAGCAGCAGCAGCAAGAATTTGGCTAGGTTCAGACAATTTAGTGGATGCTCGTGCCCTTGAAAAGTGCTAGTCGTTAGTTGTATAGCACTATGGACTATGGTGCTTGATATATAATATGCGACGAAAACGATGTTGCAGTTTCACCAGCATCTGCAAGGCGTGCTGCTTTGCGGACCAAGTCGGCATAAAGAGGAAAAACAGTTTGACAAAAGGAGAACTTTGTTTCAGATATTTATCGCTTGAAAAAGGCCGTCTGCCCGCCGAAAGAAGACTCACTTCTGAAGAGGTGGTTCTCCAAGCTCCCCTTGGCCATGAACTCGTACACGAGTAGTAGCTCGTTGTCCTCCATGCAGTAGCCCAACAGTTTGACGAGGTTGGGGTGCGAAATCCTCCCGAGGAAATTCACTTCAGACTGCATCAAAAGGATATAGTAATTCCTTTTCAGAGAAATGCATAATGGAAATCTTGGAAATCTGGTACTGCTTCCAGAATTAGCAATAAATAGGTAACTAAATAAAATGAAAGCAACAGCCACAATACAAATTCCTAGTGTCTGCCAGTAAGCAGTACCAGTACTTGTCAAGAATAGCATAAATATGAAGTGGCCAAAACCAGTGAGAGCAGAGTACTGGAATATGCGCAAAAACACACAAGGATAATCTAAGAGGGTTTTACTACTTATAGCAATAAAAAATGAAACATGGAAATCCTATTTAGCCAATAATTAGTAATAGTACTTGCCAAGAAGGCCATACATATAATATTTTTCAATGACTGGTGAGATGATAGTATTGGAGTATACACAAAAAACAAGAAACCAGAGCACTGTGGCCAGGGAAAATAATGCAAAGGTTCAGCATTCTCCACTTGGCCAAAAGCGTGCAAATGTGGCAATTGCAACTTGAGCAAAACTACAAGGCAACACTATCACTAACTTTTAACGATTGTAGGAAAACTGAAATCTGCCTAAGAAGTAAGAACTGAAAGCACCATTATTTTTTTTAAAGAACGGGTCACTGAAATTCGTCGAAGTAGAAAAACAGATATAAAGGCAACCAATTCACCAGGATCACAATCACCTGCCATTGCTCCATCCCCTGCACGCTCTCGGGGTTGAGCTTCTTGACGGCGACGACCATGGCGGTGCTGCCCTTGGCGGGGTTCACGTCGATCCACCCCTTGTAGACCTTCCCGAAGCCGCCCTCGCCGAGCACCGTCTCGGGCTTGAAGTTCCTGCAGGCGCCCCTGAGCTCGGCGAAGGTGAAGATCCGGAGGTTCGGGGACTCGAGGATGTGGCCCCCCTCCTCCTCGTAGCAGTCGTCGGTGCTGCCCCCGCTGACCGTCGACGCCATGAAGGTGCTGGTGCTGACCGTCGACAGCTTCCCCGTTGTGGCGGTGGTGGAGGAGCTCGTGGTCCTCTTCGACGCAGACATCCCTAGACATGCATAACAATTAGCAAATGTGAGGTCGTAAGTTGACTGGAAACTAAATTGCAGTGCTTTTCCTTGTGCTCTGTAGATTTATCGATGCATTTGATGCTGCTAGTAAAAAGATTGAAGTAAACAAGTTGAGGAAACTGAATTGAGATCATTTGGACATACTAGTTTTTAAGTGGTTGTTCATGAAAGAAGGGGAAAGAAATGAAGTGAAGCCATAGAGGACACAGCAGCTAAATCTGGCACACAACTTGTGCAGAAAAATTGTGCACTTGGTGGTGGTTGGCACGCAGCAATCAACAGAATTGATTTCAAGTGCAGGGTTCAGTTCATTGCAGCCACAAGTTGACCCAGTTGGTGAAGGTATAGTATGCACCCCAATACAGTAGTGGCAGCATGGAGAGGGTAACTAGCACTAGCAGTAGTAGTACTACATGGCCAAATCAATGATGAACAGAGATGTATATTCTGTAGTCACATGAATGGAATATTGCAGTTGAAAGAAACCATCAAGAATGCACAAGGCCATCCCAAAACAAAAATTAATAATCTCCAACTGCATATTGGTCGGTCAAAGCTAGCATCAAGTTGGCCACAGAGATTGCTGTAAAAAGTTAAAAAAAAATGAAAAAATTGACCACATGCTTGACTGGTTTTTGAAGATCTCAGGTAGTAGAGGCCTCAACAAGCCCAAAGACTAGGATAGAATATTCCTCTCACATGGAAGATAAAATGAATTGGGGAATGAATCGGCGGTTAGCATCCGAGCGGTACCTGCGGGATTGGCGGCGGCGGCGGGCTTGGCGCCCCAGCCCCACGGGATGAGGCCCTCCATGGCGCTGGCGCAGTTCCCCATCGCTCGCGGAGGGAGGGAGGGTCGCCTTGCGCGACGGGGAAGCCGCCGGCGACCCTGCGGCAGGCAACCAACCGCGCCGAGCAGAGCGCGCCAAGAAGTTCCAATCCGGCCTGCCGGGGCAGAGCCAGCAAGCGCGATGAAGAAGAAGCCGACAAGGAGAAGGAAGGGGGAGCGAATCGGCGAGGAAGGGGGGAGGAAGCTGTGCTGGGACGACCCCGACGACGACGAGGAGGAAGAAGAACCACCGCCGGCCGAGCGAGGAGGGGGGAGGGAGTTGCTCCACTCGGTTTCTTGATTTCTTCTTCGACTCTCCCTTCACTTTCATTAGACGGGAAAAATATATACGCGCCCGCGACGACGAGTGGGGCACGCCCGCCCCCGCCGCTGCCGCGTGGGGCCCCGGGAGCTCCTGGGTCAACGGGGTCAACGGCCGGCTGTCTGTATGCCCCGGCCCCGTATTATAACTGTGGCGGTTTTTCGTCGTGTGCAACTCGGCCGGCGACGACGACCCCGACCCCGTCGCGGTTTCCGGCGAGCTAGGAAGTGCCGTACGGTTTGGCAACCACGTTTGAAAGTTTTGAAAATGAATCTGAAAAGGGCAAACAGGGGAGCATGTTATGAATATGGTGACGTTCCGTTGCCACGCGAAACCTCAAGTTGAAACACGTTGCGAGGTGCGAGCTATGGAGAAGAGCAAACTCAGCGATGAATAGGGACGTCGCTTTAGAGTCTGAACTTGCGGGGTCTGTCACTTGCTTTACAATGGAGTGAGCTATCTATTGACATTGAGTCTGATTGCTTGGAGGCTACCAATCTTTTGAAGAATGGATAGATCTGCGAACAGTTTCATGGTTCATGAAATCAAAATACTCATGAATCAACGAAATTCTTGTATTACTCACATTTGCCGTAGTCAAAACAATCTAAGCCATTTGTTGGCATCTTTTGGTAGAACTACAGGTCGTACAGTGGTGTGGCTTGGATCTGGACCTGATGAGGTCGTCAAACTCTGTAATTCTGCTGGTAGCTCGGCTACGTGAGTAATACAAGTAATTTCCCGCCAAAAAAAAAAGAATAGGGACGCTGCTGTTCGACACTGTTCGATGTTGATTTCGTTGTTTTTATATCTCACGCTCTTGTAATGTGGTTATCAGTCCTAGAAGGTGTTGCCATGAAAGAAGTCGACTTGGTCATCTTTTCATACCTTGTAGTGGCTCGGTTGCCTTTGTTTTGCACTCTACTAATAACAAGAATGTTAGGTGCATCATAATGATGCAGATGCCGGGGGTTTCGACCTCCTTGTGGGGAAAATAGAAATGAGGGGTCCATCATCTTGGACCACCAAACCGAGTTGATGGTGCGCCCCGACGTTCCCTACTGGAGCTGGCCAAACCTTGTTCATCACGTACAGGGAGTTATCGGCACTTTGGCTCTACCGGGCCAACATACCAAAAACCGAAGTTGTTGCCGAAATCACAGGGGAATGCCGACCCAGAGACTCGAGCACTGCTATCAAATCAAACACCCTCCCCCATTGAAGATAAACAAGGGAGGCAAAACATCGAACTTTAATCATCACCCAAGCAGCCACCATCGTCCAGAACGATATTAGAACCACCAACTAGAGCGCCATCACTGCCACTCGAGGAAGCACACCGGTGCCCGGTGCACCCAAAGAAACTGATGGATCTAACCAGAACCAAACATCCATGTGCCCTCTGTCGAAGTGCATACTAGGCGGGTAGGACATTATTTCGACCTTTTAGGTTGTCGTCGTCGTCTCACCACCCCGACCACGACACAAACCTTAACAAAACCGGAATATGAATCCTTCCACCAGCGAGAATCGGGCTCCACCCTGCCTCCAAGGCCCATAGGACCACCGAAGGAGAGGCGGACCAATGGTGGCGCCGATGGAAGGAGCGGAAAGCCTAATAGCCTTGTAGACGGGGTTACGAGAGGTTTTATATGGAGTTGATTCAACAATATTTTTTTCATTTTTTTGCGGGAAACTTTTGTGTTCATCTTCAATCATGGCAGTACAAGCACTAAAGTGAGCCGAAGGCGTACCGCCGTCATCGCCCGTCCCTCGCCGGGGCCGGGCACAACTTGTTGTAGTAGACAGTTGGTAAGTCGTCGTGCTAAGGCCCCATAGGACCAACGCACCAGAATAGCAACCGCCACCGATGAAGAGAAGTTTAGATCTGAAGGATCCAACATGCAGACGCAAGAACAAAGACGGACAAAGAACGAACCCGAGCAGATCCACCAAAGACACACCTCCGCACGCCCTCCGACGATGCTAGACGCACCATCGGGGCATGGGCCAGGCGGGGAGAACCTTATTGCATCTTCAAGGAGCCGTCACCGTCTCGTTTTCCTGAACAGGACACAACCCCTAACAAAACTTGAAGAAGTACCTAAGAATGGAGCCCTCCCTCCGGCAACGACCGGGATCCACCACACACCCATAGACATAAGGCTATAGGAGACGTGGCAGATCGGTGGCGCGGCCAACGAGGGCCAAAAACCCTAGCCGCCTTTCCTAAGGAGGAGAGACGTAAGGAGGAGAGACGCATGGGTACGTATGATTTCGTCAGAAAAGGTTATCGGTTCAACGGTATTTTCTCGTAGACTAGACAACGAATAACTGCATTTCTATGCGGTCCACGACAGTTTGGTTGATTTGATTTGTGTTTTCTTCGCTGGTGGAGGCAGCATGGTTGAGTTCGGTCACAACTCGATTCTCGATTGCATCATTTACTGGTTAAGAAATTGGTAGGCATTTGCTCGGGAGTTATATCTGTTATCTTGTGAAGGAAGAATTAGTTCACTCCGGGCCTCTTCGCCGCTCAAGGATGCAAACAACCAAATTATTGAAGAACAAGACAATACATGTCAAAGCTCTCGGTCCCTAGCATAGGATACACCTACATATGTGCATGTGTACGTGCGGTGTGTATGTGTGTGCGTCGGCGGTTGAGTG